CCTTGCAATGACTCCTTGCAATGACTCCTTGCAATGACTCCTTGCAATGACTCCTTGCAATGACTCCTTGCAATGACTCCTTGCAATGACTCCTAGCAATGACACCTTGCAATGACTCCTTGCAATGACTCCTTGCAATGACTCCTTGCAATGACTCCTTGCAATGACTCCTTGCAATGACTCCTTGCAATGACTCCTTGTAATGACTCCTTGCAATGACTCCTTGCAATGACTCCTTGCAATGACTCCTTGCAATGACTCCTTGCAATGACTCCTTGCAATGACTCCTTGCAATGACTCCTTGCAATGACTCCTTGCAATGACTCCTTGCAATGACTCCTTGCATTGACTTTCAGGATGATGATTCCTTGCAATGACACCTTGTAATGACTCTCATGAGAACAACTCAAGTGAACCCAGCGGAAGAACCCTTCGCCATGCTTTTAATACAAAACACCAAAGTGTGTGCAACTGTGCAGCAATCGAACAGATGGTCAGTTTCCAGCAGGTTTCACTTGAAAACTCATCCACAGGAGTTTCCCATGAACAGACCCATGTGGCTTTGTCTCCAAACGTTCCCCGAAAAGATGCTTCCCTTCCGGTTCTCCTGGAAAACCACTCAAGGGCGGTGCCATAAGACTGCCGCTCCTGGAGGCCACCACGGGACGCGATGCAACGCCAAGGCCAAGGGATGGAGCCGAATTGGAGCCCACGGACATCCATGGACCCAAGTTGGGTTCCTACCCGGTCCCAATGACGCCAAGTGACCCGCGTCCCTGTGCCTTCCCCTTTCAACGGATACAAACCGTTTTGTCGCGTAGGAAGCGGCCAAGCTCTGCTCCCGCCACACCTCAAGAGTTCAAGGCCAGCTTCCGAGCGACCGGGGAGTAAGGGCTCTGCTTCCAGACGCAACAACCTGACAAAGGCTGGGTTAGTGTTGTCCCTTTGAAGCAGCTCTGACGGGTACCCTCGTAGTGATGTGTGTGTGTGTGTGCGCGTTGCTTTTGCTTGGCAACCTGTTTTGACGGCTTTCTAAATGGAAGAAAGGCAGCAACACCTTTGGTGGGTCCCATTCTGAGACTTATGCAGAGGCGGAAGGATCATGAATGCAACTAACAGCTGACACAAAGATGCAATCTTTGCTTTTGGCCTGTTTGATGAATGTTCTTTCCGTGTTTTGCCGCTTCTCCGGCAAACCTTGAGCAGTCGTCTATGGCCTGCTGTGGGCTCAACTGATTGGTTCGGGAGCGCCGGTCGGCCTTTGAGAGTCAGCAATATGGTTTTTCACGCGGATTGTCGAGGCAAAGTCTAGAGGAAGTAGAAGTCAGCCAGGAGCAGGAGCGCATCTCATGGGAAAGATGGCAACGTCACGCCAGCTTTGCAGAGTTGCCAGGACGCGTATGCTTGGCAACCGCGACGGAAGGTGAGCTGTTTGCCAAAGTGCCAGGTGAGTTTCCGTTGCAAAGGAGAACACTAGGAAATCTGCAGCGGAAGTTCTGAAGTTCTGGAGTCCGTGCCTCTGACGAAAGCCGTTGTGCGGCCAGCGCATGAGGCCGGCGCGGCGATCCTCGAGAAGCTTCGGAGCTCCAGGCGCGGCCAGTTGGCCATTTCCAGTTGGCCATAGGGTTCTGCTGCACTGCATAATGAGCAAGCCCTATATATCATACTCATATACATATATATATATATATTACATGCGTAAGAGAGAGGGAGAGGGAGAGAGACCTTGATACAAGTCTTGGTAGTCAGCAGTCAATGGCGCTGCTCAGTAGCTACCTCAGGAGTTGTGATTTCGGCCTGTTTTTGATGTGGAGCCACCTGAAGACTCCTTCAATGAATAAAGAATATCGAACTTTGTCACCTTTTTGGAGGATTTGTTACTGTAATTGCAATAGCTTCAATTTCAATTCATGATTCGTTTGCGTTTGCCGGCCTCTTTCCGGTGCGCCTTTTCCAACTGCCTGAACCTCCACCTCTTGCCATCCAGTTTCCAGCGTTGCTCATCCTATTCCCCACTCACACTTGAAAACCCCAAGAAGAACTCGAAAACCAGAACAGATTCACCGCATGTTCTTTGGCATTGGGTAAATTAGCTGTTTCGGGCAGCGAAAGTGCAGTTGGCAGGTATGCGGAAGAAGAGCTGCCGCCCTTGCCCCGCCGGCAACAGACAGAACGGATCGGGTGCGCCTAGTTTGTGCCGGTGCAAGCGCTGGTTTCTTCCAAAAAGCATGGTCAACTAGAACCATGTTGGCTTAATTTGCTCCAAGATTGAGCTTGATATCTGCATCTGACTGCTTCGTGTCATGTAGGTGACACCCCCGTGTCTCGCAGACGGCTACTGGACTTGTGTGCCAGGCTTTGGACCCGTATGGGCGACAGGCCAGGTGAATGCATGTTTTGTCGCACAAGAACCATCAGGATATAGCATGCCCTTGATTGCATTGCAGATCTTTCAATGCGTTGCTTCCGCTCATGGAAAGTAGGAATGAACAAGGTTGTTTTTTTCCTGGCTTGCGAGTGCCAAAGGGACGACAAGGTTGTTTGTTCAGCTGGACCGTGCTTCTCTAGGCATGGCATGGCAGCGGGCCTAGATAGCCAGCAGGATCTGCGTATGCAAAGATGGAGGTTGATCGGGGAGCTGCATATTTTCGCTCTTAGGCCATTTGCACCACCTGCAGCCGCCTTTGTCCACAAAGCGCGCCCTTCTGTCTGCACTGCGGACAAATGGCTAGGAGCCCTGGCAGCCACTGCAATGACACTGGTTGTGATGCATCCATGAAGACGTCTCAATTCAATGCGGTCCAACACCTTTCTGCTCAGCTTAAGGGAACTTGCAAGCACGACCGTCGCTTGCAAAAACACAACGACAACCACTGGTGACCCTTGTGATATGAGGCCTCAGTTTATTCATAGAGACTGTTCCACAGCATGGAAGCCGCGCAAGGTTTCCAGTCCTGGTGGCTTGGGTGCGCACCTCGGATCCGCTCGGGGAATTCGGTTCGACTCGGGCCAAAGCTCATCCTTGCAGCCAGATGGCAAACACAAATGTCCGGAAGTGGTGGTCAAACGGCACATGGATTGTGGATTGTGGATTTCTGGCAAAGCGATGCTTCGATTAAAAAGCACACCATGGTCTTTCACATGGGAGCAACTCTGAGGAAACTGGCACTCAACCGAGGATCAACTGAACAGAATCGCAGTCTCAATTCTGAGAGGGGAACGCCCGATTCAATCTCAGGGCTCTTCTTGCATTTGACCACTTGCAGCAAGGGACCGCAGGGATAAGGCGATAAGGCCACGTGTTTGATGCAATTTGATGTCACCCAGAGTCACCGGCGGTCCACCCATCCCCCGACGTCAGCCCGTCGCGTTGCCGTCCGCGCAGATCAAACCGCTGAATTTGGACATCCTGCCGGGGGTCCAGATGCATAGATGCATGATGTGCAGAGAAATTCCTGTGTGACTTTGGCAAGGGTTCTTGGACAGAGTCACAAGTTCTCAGATGCTTGAGACGCACACCTGTCGAAAGCAAGGTCAAGCAAAGAGATCCGCTTGCCGCAGTTGCTCCGTTGAGAGAAGTGCTGGTATATTGCTGCCAGGGAACTTAGTCGTACTTAGTCGTACTTAGTCTACTTTGTGATTTGCGCAGTGTCAGAGCATCCGAATACACGACGTGCCTCAGCCCGGTGGCCCGAGCTCCGCTTCCGCCCAAGAGCAACAGAGCAGATGGAGCATCCAATTGGTTCAGAAGCTCTCGACTTGGCATCCAATTTGTGGGGAAATGGCCGAAATTGTTTCAATGCGCGGCCAAACAGCAAGGGAAAAGTCAAGCATAGTCAAG